TTCTACTTTTTCCTTTGATTGAGACATTATTACCTGTAATTTCCATCATTGATATATTATTTTTGTTGGTATCCCAATCTTTTATTAAAAAAGATTTTGTCAAACTAACTTCGGATCCATTGTCAATTTGACAACATGTTGTTATTTTAGTATCATAGAAGGTTATTTCTATGAAAACTGATACCTTATAAGATGTTTCTTTAGGCATTTTTTGGTATGAAACAAGTTTCATTTTTATGACTTATTTCTATTCCATTCTTTCCTATACTATAGTCTTCTAGACAATTAAGGAACATGTTTCCTAAGATTAAATTATGATCACTTTGGGAGTATGAGACTGTTATTCTTATTGTGTCTAGTTGTAATGGCAAATCTTCCATATTTATACAACTAAAGTTGTTTCCTTCAAAAGTTTTGTTTGTTGGTTGTTGTTCCTGTTTGGACCAAGATTTCTTGTATTTTTCATTATATTCCGTTAAAGATTCTTTAGTGATTTTAATAATGTTAGAAATTTCAAGAATCCTTTTAGAATATGTATATATATATTTACTTCATAAAATTCACTCAATTATAATAAATTATATTAATTTAATATAAACATCCGATACAAATAAATTTACCAGATTATTGCATAACCATGAATTCATAATGCAACACATATGCAACTAATGCATTTATTGATTTACCTAAGTTTTGTGTCTACTTTTTTTAATTAAAAAAATGATAATTTTTTTTTGTTTGAAATTGGGTGACACCATGTTATATCACCTGTTACTTTAACTTAACCTTATTAAATAAATGATTTGCATTATTAAAATAAAAAAATTTAAAATAAGAACGTGGCGTTTGGTGGTATGAAAGTTGAGCTTTACACGCAATTATGTGAAAAAATTGATTAGTTATGCCTAACTAATTAATTATTCCTTCACGTGTTTGGTCAAACAATACAATAACAATTCTAAAGATATAGGGCGGAGGTAGAAGCTCGAATACAAGTTATGTCGAGCTTATAACCATAATAATAATAATAATAATAATAATAACATATATAATATAGCCTCACGATGAAATCTGAAAATATCAATTTTTTTGTATAGTTGATTAATTTTTAAATGTAGTGCTTCTGGAGAATCTTAGTAACTCAGTTGATTGACTACATGAACTTTCATCTTCTACTTGATTGACTACATGAACTTTCATTTTCTACTTGATTTGTCGACCAATAATTCATTCTTATTTTCTCCTCCCACAATTTTATTTGAAAAAAAGGCGTAATTCTTCTTTCCCTATGCTGCCTATTGCTTATATATGGATTCTACATATTTTTATTTTTATTTTTCATTCAGAATTCGATATTCATATTGAAATTTTTTCATTCAATATTTGATATTCATATTGAAATCTAATTAATTCAATTTTTTTTACATATTAATTCTACTTTCATTTCAATATTAAATAGTCTACACCCTTAAAAAGAAATTAGGATCCTTCACATACACACACACACATATAATTTATTATTATAATAATATATTCAATTACCAAATAAATCTTGCATGCAATTTTATTGGCCCCCCTAAAGTATCCATCATCACATGGTGTTACATTGAAGCCCCCAAATCGATCTATAGAAAAAATTAAATATACCTACAATTAATATTGAAGCTTTTGTTATCCCATGTGACATGCAATGTTAATTTTTATGCAAAGTACAGATATCAATAGTAATTTTTACTGATGATAGTATCAACACTAGTATTTGAAAGTGTTTTTTTTTTGGAGTGAATCCTAATTAAAGTGAGCATATCAAAAATATTTGGAGGGGGTAAATAAAAAGCATAGATATATGGAGCGTACATCGTAAAATTTAAGATGTAAATTTCGAGCATTCAAGCGTAAGTTTTCAGACGTAAAAACATACATTTTGAATATAAACTTTGATTTCTAATATTATTTAAAGTATTTTTTACTATAAACCATGTTTTTATTATTGTATAATGATAGTTTTACTTTATGTTATCATGTGTTACCCTTTAACTGTATTTACTAACTTTTTACTCTAATTTGATTTTCGAATCCTTATATAAGGTCAAGTCTTCGACGAATAAGTAACATTTGTTCAAACAATATATTTATGATAAGAAATTCACAAAATATAAATAAGTATTACGTCTAGAATCCAGTTACTAACACTTGAAATTGTTATTTTTAAATCCAAATTTGTAAAGTCGAAATTCTAACTCTTCATATGCTAATCAACATAATAATATAGGTGTTGCGTGTCTATTTCTTTTATGAAAATGAATCTTTTGATCCCCCAACTTTACTATTCCTTCCATTTATGACTTGGAGTACAAAAAATGAATCATCTAAAGACAAATTTAAATTTTGTAGAACATATATAACATAAAAGTATTTCAATAATTCTCACCTAACATAGCACAAGAACAATCACATAGCTTGTTTTAATAGTGTGTATTCATTAAATTTATAGGTAGACATAAGTGAAACAATATAGAGGTATAATTTTCATTGAAAAGATTCTACTTTATTATATATATTAAGAAAATTGATATTTGTATATACATCTAATTTTTCGATGAAACAAATTATCCAATCCTCTTTTGTGCCTTAGCTCCTTATTTAAGTCACATATTTTTTTATTAGTATTTTGATCTTTAATCAAATTTCGAATAAACATACATCATTTAAAACAAAATTTGCATGTATGAATTTTTAAATTTCACTTTATTAATAAATTTGATATTGATCCATCTCGTAGTCCCTTTCCTCATTTTTTTCTTTTTAAAAAGGGTGTAACGCTTTTTCCCAATACTGTCCCATATCTAGAAAAGATCAAATCGAATAATGAAAATAGTATCAAGACTAGTATTTTTAAATATAAAAATAAAAAATATACACATAATTTATTTATTTATTTGATTTCAAATAAAATCTGGCGTACGCTATTAAATTTTTGTTTTGGTCCCCTCTAAAGTATCCATCATCACATCGTGTTACATAGAAGGCCTCAAATCAATTTAGACAAATATGCCTACAATTAATGTTGAAGCTTTTATTATCCCATGTGACATACATGTTCATTTTTATACAAAGTACAAAATATCAATAGTTTATTTTTGTCTCCTCCTATATATATTCAAGAAAGGTTAAATTTAATAATACTTATGATAGTATGACTAGTATTCTCAAAAGACGTTTTTGTGGTGAGTCTCAAAGCGATATTTTGAGATATAAATAAAAAGCGTAAATTCATATAATGTATATCTTAAAATTTGTGACTTTGAATGTAAAAGCGTACATTTAGGATATTTTGATTTTTATTATTTTATATATTTTAAAAAAAATGTATTTTCTATTATCATGTTTTACGCTTTGCCTGGTGCTAGGCAAAACACCTTACTCTCATATCTCCGATTTTTAAAATACTGATCAAGACTTATCTTTTTGAATTTTGTTTTATGAATGTTTAAGAATTATCGAAAATTATAATACTACACTCGTGTAATTCTATAAATAAAATTTGAAATTATACACATCTAAGGAAGACTAATAAATATGCATTTTTTTTTTGTAAATAAATAATATCCATTTAAAAGTATACTCTTAAGAATAAATTTCTTTTTAATTTTTTTAAATTATTTTTTTACGTTTGACGAATTTAATTATCCATATAGCTTATGAAAGATTATAAGAAATTGTTAACTTTTTTTCCAATGTAAAAAAAAAAATTAAAAGAAAAAAGAAGGTATCACAAAATTTGGCTTTGAATATGACATTTCATTTAAAGAATTGATTTTTATTCAAGTGTCGGTATATCTTTATCATTTGTCTATGGCTATAATGCAATTGGTATAAAAGAACACAAAATTCCCATGTGTTTTATAAATTTGTCTTTATAATTCGTAATACGTGTCTAAGTTACGTGAGAATTTATGTCATTTTCATCCTTCAATGCAATTTATATTTACCTTTACCCTCGTAGTCTCCGTCCTCATAACCCCACACCCTTAGCCCCTCGCCTCTCGCCCCCCACGACGCATAGTCTATTGCTATAATTCAATTGGCGCAAAATTCCTACGTGCATAAGTTATGTGAGAATTTATATATATGTATCCTCCGATACACCTTATTGTTACGTACTTACCTCCATCTCCGTAACCCTCATCCCCCATAACTCCACACTCCTACCCCTCCGCTCCCACCTCTTATAATATTTATGTAAATTATATATAAATGCATATAAAATAATTTATGGGTTTTGGACCTCAACTTTGGTTTTATTGAACTATATATATATAGCTATTTGAGCTGGATGCACAATTAAAAATATCCACCAAACTTTGATTAATATGTTGACTGTACCTTCCATTGCATGATACTTAAAAAACACCCTGGCAAATACGCAGCTACGTGCTATTCTTTGAGTACGCATTGAATAAATTCATTTTTGTACAGTAACACACAAATCATATCGAAAATATAAATTGCACTACTGAACAAGCCTAATATGACGAACTCGATGGAAAAGGGTTGATAAAGGAAATCAATTTACCTTTCCTAATCAATATACCAAAAATAACTTATCAAAATATGATTTCATAAGTGGAGTCTGGAAGGAATAGAATATATGCAAACCACCTTACTCTTACTTTTGTAGGATAGAGAGATTGTTTTTGATAGACTCTCGATTGGTGCAATTTAAAGAGTCGTTTAGTGTGAGGTATAAGATATAATAATCCTAAAATAAAATGCAAGAATATTTTATCCTACGTTTGGTTGTATACATAATGGGATAACTTATCTCAAGATAACTTGTTCCCAAACAAAAGACGATACTACCAACTAATAATATTAGACTTAGAAAATAAAATAAAAATAGATGTTGCAAATTTTAACACCTACAAAGTAGATTTTGCCTTGAATTTCAACAATCAAAATTATCAACTTCTTAATTTTTTGAAATAGGTAACTCAAAATTATCAACTTCTTAATTCATTCAATTAATTTGTAACCAATTTTTTATGAGAAACTGATGTTATCAATCAAACAATACAACAGTACTGTACAGTTAGACTATCATTTCCACAAACAAGAATATGCAGAAAAAGGGTAAACAGAACAGAAAAATCAAGAATTATTGGTCTCCGATGTAATTAAGACGTCCAGAGAGCGAACAAGAGGCTTACGAGGAAGAAGCTGATCCAGTCTCGAGGGGCTCGCTGATTTCAAGAAGCTCATTGCAAAGACCTGTAAAAACGACGGAATCTGTTTCTATAGGTTTAAATTTGAGTAGAGCTGAAGGAATCAAATCCTCCTCTTCAAGGGTTATAGCCCTCTCCCCGGTAGCTGGAAAATGGGGAATCACCCGCCTCTTGACAAGCACCGGATGTAACAAATCAAATTCTAAGCTTGGTTCCTTCAATGCCGAGCTCACAAACTATAAAGTACAGATAAAGGAACCAAATATGAGGAAGAAAAATCTAAAGAATGTATACATGCCGACAAACACTTAACTGGAATATAGAACATATATAGATAGTAGATTATCTATGAATCATCACATGGAAGAATAGATATGAAGAAAGAACTGCACGATAAATCTGGAAATTTACTCTGGAAACAAAATGTAGGATCATTCATTAACAAAAGGGTAACTTATACAACTTTGCGTTTCTGGTTAGGAAAGTTCCACTTATATGTTGAGTTAGGACTATCCATGTGTCCTATACACCTAAACAGGTATGGTGGCAGGACTCCTCAAAAATGTTGATGGGTGCATGTTAGATCCTCCAAAAGTAGTTCATTTTTTGGAGGATCCAACACGGGTGCAACAACATTTTGGAGAGTTCAAGTAACATAGCAAATAATATATTTAGTCTAAACAACATGTAATATTAGCTATTCTACATTTCTTCTTTCACAGTTGGGTAAGGTTGTTGTTCTTGTTTCCTAATAACATCAGGTTTAGAATTAGAGCATTTCTTCGCATTGTTGTGAGTGCCTATTACAATAGCAACAACTATGCCTTAGTCCCAAACAAGTTGGGGTCGGGCTGTGGGTGACTATTCTTTCACAAAATATATCTGGCTTATTCGACATTTTAACTTTTTTTCACATGGAGATATAAAAAATGGAATTTCTGCTTTAGTTATTTTTTTATGTAAGCTATACTTTTTCTGGGAAAATAAGATATACTTTGTCCAACATAGTTGATTAATGCAAATCCAAATCTAAACTATCCAAATGGTATGCTGTAATGCAACCAGAGAACTTCCTTGTACGGATTTACTCATCCCCGGTGCCCCATCCTACCTTTTCTTTCTGATATGTAAAATTACTCACCACTTTTTGTCTCCTATTTTCATGTTATTGCAAGAGAGTATGTTGCAATCAGAAAGAAACTGAATCGATTCCCAACACCCCTTATCTTGTATTTTTCAAGCCTTTTAGTAATGCTATTATACCGTGTATCGGATATTTTTGAGAACTCAAAGCTTATTTATATCGCCTTCTTATTGGTATATGTCTAATGATGAGCCACAATCCTTCGACATACTCAACAGAGTGAAGGCAATAACAGATCAAGTGTGTGAGAGAGAGGGAGAGCGCAAATAGTACAAGATTTAGATTAGGAGCTAAGAAATATCGGGGGGTGGGGTGGGGGCAGTGAAGAATCTTTTATTGCTCTCGGAAAGTTAATGTATTCTATGCTTAGTATTCTGGAAATAAATGAAGCTTTACATTTGAATCTAACATAAGTTCCTTTGAAAAGAATCCCCAATTTGAATTTAGGAATTCGACCATAAATATAGCAAAAATAAAAGGCAAAGTACAAACCTCATAAAGAGCACTAGTTGGCTCAGAAGGTAGAAAGACACCTTGAAGCAATACTCCATCTGGAAACTGTATTCGGATAATGGATTTTGTGTACTTTTTTCTTGCAGCTTTTGCCTGCTTTTCCCGAAAAGATTTAGGAATCAATAATTTCGACTCTTCTAGTTTCTTCCTCTTCATCTCTGCCTCTCTTCTCAATTCCTCATGTGAGAGGTTAAAGAATGAGTCAGGTAGCACAATTTTTGCTGCTACGCTCTCCGGAACAGAAAAGAACACCTTAATCTGTTGCGTAAAGAAATAAGAATGTCAGAGGTAGAAAATAGCGCGATTGCTGAACAAAATGTCATATGAATAGGATATTAAAATGCTGTTTCAAAAGTATAAAAAGTGTTGATATAACTTTCCAAAATTAAGCTTGACCGTATTCATCAAAATAGATAATGTTTGGTATTATTCCCCATGACAATATCTTATAAAAGTCTATAGAGGCAACTGAATCATGCCATTTCTCAGAAGAACAGACATAACCCAACAAAGTTAATTCTAAAGCAAAATTCACGAAGTTCGATCATTATATAAATAGTAAGAAACATACAAGTAAAGAACAACATAGGTAGTTCTTGTCCTAAATACAGAAATGAGGTAATCGTATAATTCTGTCAAAAGACTGGCCCACTTAAAAGTTCAACTTCACTTTTCCAAACTGAACATCATGTACCCAACCCCCAGGTTCAAAATCACACTTACCATAGGAGGTTATGCCCTTAAGAATCATTCGTTGATGCAGACACTGAAGAACAAAATCGAAGAAGGATTTGGAACTGTTACCTTTTTGTTCAAATCATTACAACACAAAAAGACATTTCACTACATATGCATTTTAATACAATATTCTTATTATTTCTTCGCCATAGCTACTCCACTTCCATTATTTCTTTTCCTTGAGTCGAAGGGGCTAGGAGAAAAAACCTCTCTACCACCCAAGGTCTGCATGATTACACTGTGTTGTTGCCTTATTATTCTAAGTTGCTTGGACTCGGGTATCTGAGACGGATGCGAATCCGAGAGTTGGATTCGGCAAAATCTAATTTTAAGATTCGGGTGGTGAGAATCTGAGTATGGAAACGGATGCAGGGATTCGGCTAAAAATATTCAATATTATAACTATACTTTTATAATACTTAGCCGAATCTCCGCACCCGTTTCCATACTCGGATTCACACCCCCGAATCTTAAAATTTAAATTTTTCCGAATCCGACTTTCGGATACGCATCTGTCTCGTATACCCTCACCCGAGTCTGAGCAACTTAGATTGAGACAGACAGACACAACACTTGAACCAAAGAGAAGGAACAGAACAGAAAGACGGAAATAGAAATGAGTAAAGACAGTCCTGAATTAATGTAAAGCATTGTGTTCAATATAAAAGAAAAAGAGAACATAAAGAAATTAGCAAGCAACTAAAGGAATTTTAGTCCGAAATATCCAGCATACTCTCATTAAACTTTCTTTCCTAGCACAGATTCATACAACTACGCCCAAGTCCCAAACAAGTTGAGGCCCTGATACAGATTCATGCATACAGAAAATGATCATATTTCAAGAATCTGAGTATCATTTGGCAAAAAGAGACTGGGTGATTACTCCAGTTCATAATGCTAAAAATAGCATTTGAACTACAGAAGTAGAAAACACCTTAACAAATTACTGGAACTTCAAATGTAATTTATCTTTTCCGAGTCAGATCACTTACTCCAACAGCCTAGATCTTATTGGTTGAGATGAGAATCAAAGAATACTTTTATGTTTATCATGGATTGAGAAAACATGAAAAACATAAATGACATGCTCCATCAATTTTATAGATTCCATAATATCCCAAATAATAGATTCACACAATTCAACTTCACAAAATTTTTCTTTTTGATGAAGTGATAACTTCACGACAAAGTTCAACATAATTCATTGGATTACTCTTTTGAAGATTTTATTTTAGATGTCTAGAGAAATATTTTAGTAAAATCAAAGAGTGAGGTCGGTGTTCACGGGATAGATACACAGTAGGTGAATTGAAAATTATTAGAAAAGTACGACACAACAGGTGGTATCTGACATGCTGAGATACTAGTAATGGTGTTAGAGAAAAGGTTCATCAATTCATTTGGTAGAGTAATATCTCTAGTGAAGAAGCCTGACCAAAGTAATTGCCCAGGATTAAATCTTTTCAGCGAACAGAAACATGTTATAGTTGTCCATCTAAACGAAAGAATTATATGCTTAGGACAGCTAGCTTAGCAAATGTTAATTTCTTTCTGCCTACGGATTTCTCTGCATGTAACAAACTATGACATAGAGAACAAACCAAACTGATCGGTCAGGATACATATAGAGGAAATGTTTTTAGTGACACTCCTATACTGAATTCACCTTCAAAAGAACCTTATGATTGTCATTTTATTACTTTTTTTTTTTTTTTCAAAGACCCATTCGGTCAAACATTTTATAATAAAATTGATAGTGTATGTGGGCTAGCTAGTGAGCCCACTTCTTAAACAAAAAGCCTAAAAAACACAAGCTAATCAGAATTGAAAAAGGAAAGTAAAGTAAGCAGTCACTGTAATAAATCCTGATAACCATGAGAAGCTAATCAGATTGTCATTTTATTACAGTTCTCACTCAGACCAAAAGTATGTCAGTTTTCCGTACAACCACTCTATAGCTCTCCTTCCTAAATCCTGATAACCATGAGAAGGACCGATAAATGAAAAGCACCAGTTAGATGCTCGGGTCCCTTTCTAAAGCAAACACATGTTAACACGAAACAATAACCTAATTAACATATTGTTATCGTTTCATCTCTTCCATACACGTTTGGCAATCTGTGTCTCAGAGGAACAAGTATCATGAGTGTTAATTATGAATAAAGCATAAAAAATTATGGAGTCAACAAATCCAACAGTTCATGTAAGAAAGAAACAACAAACCCAGTGTAATCCCACAAGTGGGGCCTAGGGAGAGTAGAGTGTACGCATACCTTACCCCTCGTAGAGATAGACAAGTTGTTTCCGAATTTGTAAGAAAGCATATAAAAACATTGTTACTCCACCAACTTATCGAATAATAGTGTTATTTCTGCACCTATTTCAAGTGTTATTCTAGTTTTAAGCATCAATCCGCATTCTCTCAAAACATATTATGTCCAGTTGATCAATACACCAGGCCAGAAGCAATAGTAGCCTTTAATGTTTTAAGAAGTTATGGACTAAAATGCTATATCAGGATGACAACATCATTCATCAATTCTCATGAGAAAGGACTTTACTTATTGGGAAGCCAAGGTGCTACATCATGTTCAACTAAGAGAAATAATTGAATGCCAAGCAAATTTTATAGCTGAAACATCAGGAAAAGTAATATACAGTCATAATAAAGAAATTAAGCATTCAAGCACTAGTAAACTAAGGCATTGATGAGCACATGGAAACTAAACGACCGAACGAATTCTACCTGTCTATCAATCTTCTTCGGCTCAACTGGTTCACTCGCCGCCTTAACTTGGGATGCTGATGCCAACTCTTCAACCTTCTTTGGTTCCAAAAGTGAAACTACATTCTTAAGTTTAACAAGTTGTTCTTCAGAAGGAACATCCATCACACCCCAAATTTCCCCACCTTCTTCTTTCAACTCAAATCCAACAAATTCCAATAGCTCAACTCCTCCTACAACATCACCTATAGCCTCCTTTATCTTCGGATTCCCCATCCGTATCTTCCTAAACTTAGCGTTCGTTGGTTCCTTCCCTATATTCTTTAACAACTTTACAACAACCTCCACTGATCCATCTGATGGCTTTCCTGAAACATACACACTAACACATTCTTCCACTTCACTCTTAATTTCTTCATCTTTACTTTCAACTCCCAAATCACTCACTTCAGAGGCTAAACAGTTATCAATATGACTTGAAACCTCTTCCTCAGAACCAAAAACAGTACAACAAACAGGACATTCAAAAACGTTTAATGAATATCCTTTTGGATTCCTCTTACCAGAAGTGACTAATTCACCATATGGATCAAAACCATCCTTTAATTCACTCTTTTTACCATGATTAACACATTTATTCTCAATTCTTTTATCAGAATCACTTGGTTTTTGAGCCATAGATTTTGTATTTTGCTTTGAAGGTAAATTTTGTGATGACAAATTATTAACATGATTTGGGGGTGGCCCTGAAGAAGAAGAAGAACTACCCAATACTCTACCTTGGCCTTTAAACTTACCTGAAGAAGAAAAAGAGACCTTCTTCATGAACCCCTTCATTTTATCCTTCATATCACCCATTTTTCAAGAACACCCTTTTGCTAAAACCTTTCAATCAATCAAATCAAATCAAAATCTTGAAAAAATTCAATCTTTATCTATATGGGGTTTCTTAATTTGTGTTTGTATATATCAAGAAAGTGAAAGATATTTTTTTTCTCCTTAGATCTCTTTATAGGGCTGAGAAATCTAAGGAAAAAGTTTAGGTTTTCTTAAAAGTTGAAAATTGGGAAGAAGAAAAACAATGAGAAAGTGGAAAATAAGAATTTTTATTTTATTTTTTTATAAAGAAATCTGATTTTGGATTTTTTAAATTAAGGCGTGTTTGGATGGAATGTTCTATAAAACACGGGAATTTTCAGGTGGAATTAGTAAAGGAAGAGGTAAATCATAAGCAAGTAAGCGAGTCACAAGAAAATCGGATTTTAATCACAAGTCAATAGTAATCCTATTTTTATTTATGTCTCTGCTTTTGAAACTGTCTTTTGTGTTTTTGAACGAATCAGTTCTTGGGACAAAAGTTCGGAATCATAGAAGGAAGACGAGACTCTATTTCTTGCCTGATTAGTGAAGAAGGCATCTCAAAGAGGAAAATAGATTGGGGTTAGACAGAATATGTGATTCGGAGGTCGAATTATATACAAATTAAATTATCTTGAGATTATAATTTATGAATTAATTATTTTATTTAAGAAGTGGCATAAAATAACTAAAAATAAATTTATATTATAATAAAATTTCAAATATAATATTGAAATACGAATATCTCTTTTATCCCATAGATCAAACTATTCCTGAATTCATAAAAGACATCAAGAGTAAAATAACTTTGTAGATATTGAAATTTTGTGAAATTCTACAAGACGTGTTCAATTTACGTTTGGATTCTATAAGTTGTTCAATTCCAATTAGGATTCAATTTCAATTAGCATTCTCGAAGGCTACTCAACCATAAACCCTAGTTCATGTCTATATAAAGGGTAATATGTTCTCTTAAAAGGCATCTCGAAAATTCCATAAAGAGATCGAAATCTCGAAAATTTCACCACAAATTCATGGAATATTCATAAAGAGATCAAGATCTCGAATATCTCAAATATTCCACAAACTCATGGAATATTCATAAAGAGATCAAATTCAAATCATATTAATTCAAGAAATACGTAACTAACGGCCCTCGAATTATGTAGATCAAGTCCAAATCATCTTAGTTTGAGAAATACGCCACTAACGGTCCCCAAATTATGTAGATCAAGTCCAAATCATCCGAGTTTGAGAAATACGCCACTAACGGTCCTCAAATTATGTAGATCAAGTCCAAATCATCCTAAGTCGAGAAATACACCACAAACGTCCCTCAAATTATAAATAAATATTTTATGAGAGAAGAATCACGGGATCAACAGAATTATGGATAAATTTTGGAATATTTTTTGTGATCGTAATTTAATTATAGTCACTTTAAAATTTGTTGCAAACAAACTTATTTCCACATAATGTCACGTAAGATAATTCATTCACAATATATATTCCAAATTTTATGTAGTATTTTATTCATAACATTTATTTTAAAACATCATCAAAATATACACTAAAATAGTCCTTTTATATCCATTTCATCAGTCGTAATATCTTTTTCAAACTCTACTAAAATATTATCAAAATTTTAACATTTATAAGTTCACGTAAAAAATGTCACTAACGAGAAATACATAATGTTAAACATAATAAAATAAGAAACTAAAAAGAATCATTAAATTATTCGTTTGGAAATTTTCCATATGCAGAATTTATAGCTCAAAATATAATTAAAATTAAAATTTCGAGGGATGCACGTCTCCATTTCTTGATTACTTTATTTGTCTTTACTTATAATGTAAGTAATTGACTTTAGACATGTTTAAGCTGATTTTTATCTGATTATATTAAAATAATTTATATACAATAAATATGATATTTTTGATAGATTCTCAATTCAAAAAAGAAAATATTAAAAAACAAGTGTATCAATAATGTAGTATAATAGTAAAAGAAAAAAATCATACTGAAAACCATGAAAATGAGAATAGAAGCAACAATAAATAATACAATAACTACAGAAAACAACATGTAATATTGAAATCGAAGAAATAAAACAATAAATTAGAAGGGAACTAGACAAATACTGAAGTACATACTACCATTCAACCCTAATCTTCGACCTTTATATTTTTCTATTTAAAACATGTCTTCGATAAGCTACAAATGAGTCATCTCTATCGAATTACCGAAAAGCTTTTTATTTTTTATCCTTAAATGTGATAATGTATAACCCAAACAAATACTACATAAAAAATAATCATAATCTTTAATTTTTACAAATAATTTAGCTGATATGCCAATAACTATGTATATATTATACATAGATTATATTATAAACTATTACAATTAGATGGGTTAAATTATTTTAGAAAGTACAAATTATCATGATTTAAAATTACATGTCCTTTCTATTTGATTAGCCACTGCGATTATTGAGGGCCTTTTAGTAGGATTCTTGAAAGTGCAACAAATTGCTAGTTCTAACAATTGAACTATTTGATCTCCAAATTCTTGGTAATTTTGCACCATATTCTTGTCAAAAACATCAATAATAGGCTTTTCTTGAAACATTATTCGAACCCAACTAGGCAAATCAATCCCTTTGTTCTTGTCAATGGCATCTAACGGGGCATTACCAGTCAGTATTTCCAACAACAGGACACCAAAGCTGTAAACATCTGATTTTTTAAAAATGTCGTAGGCATATCCCACTTCTGGTGCCTGATAACCCCCGTTGAGGGATAATGTAGGGTTTGACATGAAAAGTCTAAATAATCCATGATCTGAGAGATGAGCATCAAAAGAATTGGTGAGTAGAACATTGGATGACCTTATGTTACCATGACAAACGCTAGGACCTTGAGCATGGAGAAATTCGAGGCCACGAGCGACTCCATAAGCGATTCGAGTTCTCACTTTCCATGTGAGTTGGGATCTCTTAGTCTCTCCATTTACTATGTAACATGTCAATAGTTAATCCAACAATAATGTAAGTTAAGGAACATTAAGGAACAAGATTGGTTGTCAAGAATGTAGTAAGAAAGATGTAACAATAAAATTGATGCATGCTTTACTAGTTACTAGTTATGTAGAAATCTTCTAAGATTATATTTTATATATAAATAACAGTATTTGTGAAGAAAATATACCTTGAACTTAACTCAACTTTAAAAGGTTAGCTCATCAACAAAAGATTGTCTAGTAGGATAAGTTAATAACTCATTCTCTTACTCAATATGGGATACTTCACACCACCTGACGCCTAGTCTTTAACATCTAGAGTCTGAATAACATAAAGAGAAGTGATGGGGCTGGGGGTGATATTAAGTAAACTAAGAATAAACTTTGAGTTTGATTTCAATATCATGAGAAGAAAATGCACGTTGAATCTAGCTTAATTTTCAGACAGCTTTATGAGATAAGAATCGTCCAAAATCATATAAGCAGACAATATTTCATTCCTTCAACCAATGTGAAATAGTTGACAGTATTATACGTTTTCTCATTGATCTTAAAGAGATTCTTAGTGTTTCTTGGTAAAATAAAAGTTGGTTTATCTGCATAGGACATGGGATTGGATAAAATCCCCTGATCTCGACATTCAAATTATTATCTTAGACCAAAAAAATGAGTTGAAATACAAAACTACTAGTTCTTTCCAAAGAGAATAAAGGGAATTAGATGACTTACTATGCAAAAGGGAAGCCAAGCTACTCATAGGCATATGATCAAATACAAGAAGCTTCTCATCTTTTGAATAATAATAAGCTCTTAGAGGAAGCAAACTCTCATGATGATTACTCAATTTTGCCAATTCTTGAATCTTTTTCTTGAATTCCTCTTGAACCAAACAACAATCTTTTAGCCTCTTAACAAATACAATTTTCCCATTTTCCAATTCTGCCTTGTAGCTACTTCCAAATGTTCCCTTTCCCAATAACATTGCTTCTGATCTCAACAAGTCCACCAAATCATATTTCTCTTTAGAATTCCCCAAAAACACTAGCTTTTGATTCACAAATGTGGTTTGGTTTTGTGCCATCTTGTGCTCTAAAACACCTAGGACAAGAAAGTCAATATACTTCTAATGTCGAATCACGATCAATTAGGACATTCAGTTCATTGTTGTGTTTAGTATAATTTCATAAGTGGAGTTTAGGGAGAGTAGGATGTGTGCAGACCTTATATATCTTTACTTTTGTGAGGTAGAAAGATTGTTTTTTTTAGACTCTTGGCTCAAAAGAAGTGTAATCAAAACAGGACTGAAAGAAATATATAATAACTACAAAATATCAAGATGAACAAAGCAAAGAAGCAACTAGTAATAAATCAACTAGGTTAATATATAGGAAAATCAGTCCATTACGGTGGCGAAAACAAGACAAGATGACTAGGAATGTTGAAGGGACGTTAAGACTCAACTAAGGTATGAAAAAACTCCTGATAACAGGAATATCTGCAAGAACTCTTACCCATATCTTATCATTTCTTTGAAATCATATCCTCTCATAACACAATGAATTTATAGCACGACATGCTGCTTCAATAGCTCGATATGAAAGAGGGCCAACTTTATAAGTCGGAATCTCTCGATAGCTGAAAAAATTGATAAAAGGTGTGAAACTCTATTGCACAAAGAAGAGAAGATCATCTAGGTGACAATTATTCTTTGTTAACTTTTTTTTTTTGACACAAAGGTTTTTAGTTGAGGATTAAAATAGAAAATATAATGTCTTGACTTTTTTTTGTTTGTTAAATATTTCAAAAGTCAACTTGAGATGTATTTTATATAATGACTAATTAATCAGATTATGATAGAAATGCTTGTAAGCCACCTACTTTATGTTAAATACTTATTTATGGTTTTAGTTTAGGGACATTACAACATAAGTTGACCAGATGTTTGGACTATTATTTGTTTTTTTTTATTAGAAATAAAATAATACATATATCAAAGAAAAAAAATGAAAAAGAGTAAGTGGCCAACAAGTGCAAAGAGAGCCTTATATTTGGACAATATTTTTTGGTTAGGGGTAACAAAATTAATTCATGAAAATGA